ATTATATGTTTAATTTGTTTAGAATTAACATTATAGTCCAAAATTAGAGGTACACATTCTTTCTCTCCTATTACTGTATCCTTCTTTGGTTTATATTTAAGTACCTCAGTTCTCTTCATTTTTTTAACTTGAGAAACTTGTTCTTTTAAAACTATAGGGTCATAATGTTTTTCTTTAAAAAAAGAGGTTAGAGTATCAGCTTGAATATCAAATTGATGAGGATCAGTACAATTCCTCAACATCCGTATGTACTGTCCTTTTGGCATATTATTGATCCAAGGAGCATGGTGACAACTGGTCGTGTCAATATAACTATTGACATCAACCGGTTTAAAAAACGTTTTCGTTTTAATACAAGAATCCTCTATATAAATGACTAAATCCAGAAAATTAACATGGGAAATACTATGTTCACTAGAAAGGGTAATATTCCTGGAATTGTCATTCAAAAATTGCAAAAATGAAGTAAGGTGCTGTTCTCCCCCCTTCCAAATAAAAAAAATATCATCTATATATCTGCGATAGAGGACCAAGTCCGCACTCCAGGATACATCCCCTGAGAGGAAAGATTCCTCCCAGAAGGACATAAATAAATTAGCGTAACCCAGTGCGAACTTGGTCCCCATCGCAGTCCCAATAAGTTGCAGAAAATAAGAACCTTCAAACCAGAAAAAATTGTTGTGCAAAATGAGTTGAATACCCTCTACAATAAAATCTCTTTGAGTTTCTGGAACTGAACTGTCTGATAAAAAATGTCTAACAGAATCACACCCTAAATCATGCTTAATAATAGTATACAAACTATTGACATCACAGGTTACCAATATATAACCCTCTTCCCATGTTATATTTTGTAATTCTCTAATGAGATGGGATGAGTCCTTAAGATAAGTAGGTCGTGAGGTGACTACTGGTTGCAGCAGTCTATCTATATATTCAGACAGCCGACTCAATAGTGAATTCACCCCAGCCACTATTGGTCTACCCGGTGGATTTGTATTATTTTTATGAATTTTGGGGAGGGTGTAGAACACAGGGATTTTTGAAACTTTCACATTTAAATAATCATACTCATCCTTATTCAGAATCTTAAGTGTCCGTCCTTTTTCTATTAATTTCAAATATTTATTTTTAATAGACTCCATAGGATTCCCTGACAACTTGGAATAGGTGTTCGAATCCCCCAATTGTCTATAAATCTCCTTTATATAATCTTCCCTATTTTGAATTACCACAGCCCCCCCTTTATCAGCGGGTTTTATAATAATCTGTTCATCTTTACTTAGTTCTAAAAGGGCTCTTCTTTCTGTTAGTTTAAGGTTATTTTCACATCTTATATTTTTATTTTTATTTTTAGGAATTTTCTTAATATCTTCTACAACTAGTCTTTCAAAAACCTGCATGGCCCCACTAGAGTGATATTTAGGAAAAAACTTTGACCTATTTTTTAACTTAGTATGTACCATATCATCATTCTCATCATGATTTTCTTTACAGTCCAAAAAGGTTTTTTGAGGATGTTTTAAAAAAATTTTTTTTAAACACAATTTACGATTAAACTTCTGTAAATCAATGAAAGAATTAAAAGCATCATTGAAACACGTAGGGGCAAATTTTAGTCCCTTACTTAACACTCTCAGTTGATCTCCAGTAAGGGTTTTATTTGATAAATTAACTACACCTAAGTGTTGATCTTTCCTCTCTTCCTTTCCTTTAATGGGTCTTCCACTTCTAATTCCCCTTCTTCTTGAACCCAATTTCTCTTTCTTATTAATAGTTCGGTTCTTTGTGGGGGATGCGACCCTAAAAAAGGAGCAGTAGATGAAGGGAAAGATGAAGAGTTCTCTTGATACTTGTCTCCTGTGGAATCCTCTGACAAGATTCTATATCTATTAGTCTGAGAAAACCTGGGTGGCAGTGGAGCGACATAGGTTCTGGAACCATTTCTATTTTTACTCTCCTGCCAAACCGGTGAAGAAACAGGAGCAGAACTAGTTCTAGAACCATTTCTATTTCTATTTCTGCTCCTCTGCCAACCCGGTGAAGAAACCGGAGCAGACAACTTCTTATTCTGATATTGGTAAGAAGGATGAATGGGTTCTCTAAATTTTCTAGACATAGGTGATGCACCATTACGAGTTTTCCCTTTAGGCATACCTGAGAACCTACGATCCAAATTATTAGAAAATTGATTAGACTTATTACGGTAAGAGTAATCCTGATGATAATTCCGGGAAAAGGATCTAACTTGATTCAAAGTGTAATCATTTTGATCCCTTTGGAGCTTCCTCTTTTTAATGATTAGTGTATTTTCCTCCACTTTTTCCACATTATTTTTCACCATTCTCAATGCATTATCAATTTCTGTACAATTAACTACTGGTTTAAGTTGTTCTTTAATATTATTAATCTGGATATCCAACTGCATTAAATTACGCTTTTTTTGCTGTACAATAATGGATATCATCCTAGCTGAAAAGGACTCCAAAGCGGAGTTCCAAATCTCCATAAAATCTTCATCTTCCCTATCAAACGTAGGTGTTTTAAAAAAACGTAAACCTCTTGGACTAATTTTTTGTTCTAAATAACGTTCTAGAGTGAAAATGTCCCATTTAGTTTTAGTCTCTTTAATTAACAATTTTTCAAGCTTTTTGCAGGCAAAATCTAAATTTTCTTCAGATTGAATAATGGGACCTTGTGTATTATCAAATTTGATGGCAACCATGTCCTGCCAATTTTCCCTGGCTTCAAATACCTCCATTATAAATAGATCTCAATAGATGGATCAAGAATTAATTTAAATATGAGCAGCCCACAACTTTAAGGGATACTATAATAACAAGACAAAATATACAAAAAGTATATAGTTGTGTAGGCGCTTCCAACCTTAAATGCAAACAATATGAGTGAGTGTGATACTCTAACCTCTTTTTTTAAAGAAAAACATTATGACCCTATAGTTTTAAAAGAACAAGTTTCTCAAGTTAAAAAAATGAAGAGAACTGAGGTACTTAAATATAAACCAAAGAAGGATACAGTAATAGGAGAGAAAGAATGTGTACCTCTAATTTTGGACTATAATGTTAATTCTAAACAAATTAAACATATAATCAACAAACATTGGCATGTTTTGAAAACAGATGAGGATCTTAAGGATATTATAAGTGATAAGCCGAAAATTATTTTTAAAGGTGCTAAAAATATTAAAGACCATTTAGTTAAAAGTTTCGTCAATTGTAAACAGGGAGATAAGAACGTTTTTAATCAAAAACCAGGTTTTTATCCGTGTAAAATGTGCTTGCCATGTAAAAACACTACTTTTAAGAAAGATACACAAATTACGTTTAAATCCAATGTCACAGGAACCTGTTTTAAGATACGTGATATTGTTACATGCCATTCTACTAATGTGGTGTATCTCCTCTGGTGTCCCTGTGGGCTCCAGTATGTGGGAATGACCACTAGGAGTCTGAAAACCCGCATTATGGAGCACATGGGTAACATACGGAGGGGATACACCAAACACAGTGTATCAGCACATTTTTTAGAATACCATAATGGTGACGCTTCTCTTTTAAGTTTCATGGTGATTGGGAAAAAACGTATGAATTGGAGAGGGGAGGATAATGTCCGAGAATTAAGTAAATTAGAGGGCAAATGGATTTTTACCTTGGACACTATGTGCCCTAAAGGTCTTAATATAGATTTCGAATTAGTCCATTTTTTATAAAATTTTTATTAATATTTTATATAATATTTATAGTACTTGTTATTTATATACTTTTATGGGTTTTTTCTTTTGGACATTTCCCCTCTTCAATACACAATTTTATAATTTTTCAATTTTTTGTGCCTTGTGTTTTAAGAATATGTATGTACCGATCTACTAATTCACTACTTGCTATTTTCTTTGTTTCTACATTATGTGGATTAAGTTGGTTTGGGCATATGCCCTTTTCCAATATGGACATCCTTGGGACTGTTTACACCATGCTCGAGTGTGGAACGCATGGTGGAACGCAAAAACATCATGTAATCGCATCTAACCGGAAGTCACGTGCGTTTTGCCGAAACCGGAAGTGACACGATCGGCGGTATTTGGAGACTACAGCTGGACCTATTTGAACATATCAAGGGGGCTATTTAAGCCCTGAAGTTTTTTCCAGGAACTTAGCACTGAGGAAGGCCCTATCAGGGGCTGAAACGCGTTTGCACTTTACTGGACTTCTCTATTGGGACTTTTTTCTGGCGGTATTTTCTTATTGTTTATGTATTGTAGTGTTCCACTGCTTTAAAGTTTTGGCCATATTTGCGGTGCAATACTGTATTATATTTCATGATTATACCTGCCTTGTCCCTAGTTATTTATATATTTTATTTCAATATTTTATTTCAATAAATTTGTATCTACATCTATTACTGTGGACCTCGAGTTCTTCCAACAGGAATCTATCGAGAGCCTGAATAGGCACCCAAGAGTGATGTGCATAGAGCCTATGAGGCTCCACCTTTGTGAGTTCAATCCACATATATTATAACTTGTTTATTTTAATTTATATGGAAAGCACTATGTATGTTCCATTTGTTTTTCAGATGTAACCAACATACTTACGTCTACAATAGGTGGTATACCTATTTATGTATATATCTTGTATATACTTTTTTTTTTGAGTGTGTGTGAATCTATCTATTTATCTTTCTATCTCCAAAAGAACCAAATCAAAGTCCCACACCAGTGATACTTTGACGCATGGTTCTGGACGGTTTGATACCCCACAGAAAATGGCATATCAAAGGCTCTTGATTGACCGGAGTGTCGTGAATCGTGCTATGCGTCGTCGAAATCGCGGAACGTAGCCCGTTAATGGAACGTTCCGATCGGCCTGTAGTGAAAAGGTATGATAAAGATCCAGCATCGTGGAGATAGGGGTAATAAAGGGATCGCAGTCCCTTCCCATACACCAGCGAACTCCAGGTGTTCCATGCGGATAAGTTATTTCGGGGAATACCTGGCGTCCATGAGTCCCATAGTAGGTCTCTAGTTGGTTGCGATAGTCCCTTGACATACCAGTCTCCCCTGGAAGACACCAATCTACCAACTCCAGATGCTCCTGCATTCTCAATGGATGATGTTCTCCTTTTGGATCCGCCCGAAGGCAAGTTAAAACGGAAGGAGCAGAGGATGATCCTGATTAAGGACAACCCTTCTGGGTGTCACGCTTGCCTCCTTTACCGCAGTAATGAGTACTATCGAAGTCTTCGCTATTCTGATCCCAATTTCATAGGTGTGTCCATATCTCAGGCAGTGAGCTTTCAGCCACTGTCTGGCCTGGTAGTGAAGCAGTCCTGGGAAATAGTCAAAGGGTTATGGTGCCTTTCCGCCGTACCCGTCGAATTTCCTTACGAATCGTCGCTATCAATGATGTGGGAAGGTGTAATCCGCCCAAGGTGGAATCTATTCTGAAATAGAGGAACTGAATCACTCGGAACTGGGATCGAACCAACTCCTCTCTGTTCACTATAGGTATGTGACAGCAGATACCCTTTGCTTTTCAGTGCGCAGTGACCGACTTCAGAAACTTCATGAGGCACCATGTGAACCTATAGGTAAGTGCCCTTCAAGTCCAACCTTGTAGATCCCCTAAGAGATGGATACCTTCCTTCTTGAGTTGTCGGTACGCCCCAAAACCATTGGGTTGGCATAGGTTGATGACTGGGTGATAGTCTCCTATCTTCTTCCTTACTACCAAACCGTTGCTGAGATAAATGGTTCTCCAAACGATAGTCCGTCTGCCTGAGGTCCTCGCTCTTTCGTCCCTAACTTCAATAGTTTGAAATCCATCTTTAATCGGGCTGCTTTGCGGCATTCTGTGCACCTGTCTGCCTTGCGTTCCCCAACTTACATATTGCCCTTTGCACCCATTCCCTCACATCGTGAGCTTCTATAGGTGAGTCTTGTGTGGGGTCAGGTCCGCAAAGTATAGAATTTTTTCCCGGGCTGATCATATCCAGTATTTAACTCATTTTGAGTCCTCCTCCTACACACTGATCGGGACATACATATCACCACGAGCTCCATAGTGAGGACTATCTTGTTCGGACATAGAGGGCGTGGGCATTCCATCCTGAGCCGGTCTCGGATTTCTTTTCCCATAGGCCTCCTAAGCCAGAAGTGGGCCCGGTGCTCCAGTTAACCCCATTCGGATGACCCTGGTTGTCGGATGGTGCGTGAGTCAAAACAGGAGTGTCCAGTGTGCCAAAGAAAAAACCTTTCTTGCTAGGAGTGTCTTGTCACTTTTACCTCTTCTGCCCTCCATAATTTCATGATCTCCAGAGAAGGGGGGGGGGAGGATGAAGTCCTCGTCCCCTGATGATGGGTGTCCGACCTAACGTCGGTATCTCAATCTTCCATTGGTGTTGCTGCCGTTGCACCCGCTCTGTCGGATGGGTTGTTAGCCAGCATACTGGAGAGGACTTCTTCCCCCGGAGCTGTCATGGCAGCCTTAATCCTCGCCTGAAAATCGGTCGGAGATATTGAGGTAAGTCCGACATGTTGGTTCACACCCTTTCGGTCCGTGGGAGACAGGATCGTACAACAGTACACTTATTGCCACTCAGTAGGCCTCCGCGTATAACTGGGGGTCACCCAGAATTTTGATCAATCAGTATCATTTTCGCAGGATCCGGGGAGTGGTCTGAGAATGAGGACACCCTCAGTAAGACCGGGATGAGCGGTCTGCAATGTCGGGACGTAGCCCAAGTCTGGGAGACGTGAAAGCCTCAATATATATAGTCCACGGGGTTCATCCTTATATGGTCTAGAATTGTGGGGTTTTGGCAGCACTGTGAGTTCTCCTTCTCGGTTAAGGGAAGGGCGTAATGAACCCCAGTTGAAGCATAGAGGTGCCAGAATACATGCATCTAGTGCGCCCTGGTCTGTGCATACAATGACAGAGCGTACTCTGAAGGTAGAAGCCCTAGAAAGGGTGCGGAGGGTCACCCCTTTGTACCTATGCCACTAGCACCGGAGTAAGACTCGCTTGGGGTTCACCCAGCATAGGGGGGTCACCCCTGTATGAATGTCTCTTATGGCATGTTGGGACACTCTTTCGGTCTATGGGGTACCGAACAGGTGTCAGGTACGGTAGTACACTTATTGCCACTTAGTGGGCCTCCACGTACAACTGGGGGTCACCCAGAATTGTTTCAATCAGTACCACTTAGAGATTTCCTGGGAGTGGTCTGAGGAGGGGGTCACCCTCAATAAGACCGGGATGAGCGGTCAGTAATGTCGGGACGTAGCCCGTGTATGGGGAGGTATGGTAGCCTCCAAATTATCCAAGGGGTCACCCTTATAGGATATAGTACTGTGGAGAATTGGCAGCACCATGAGCTCTCCTTCCTGGCTCTGTCGATATACATGTATTCAGTGTGACCCGGTCTGTGCATACAGTAACAGATCGTACTCCGTGGAAATGAGCCCGCCCTAGGGCGTGGGGGTTCCCCCCAGTATATGTATGTCACTAGTACCGGAATAATATTCGCTTGGGGTTCACCCAGAGTAGGGGGATCACCCCAGTATATGTATGTCACTAGGACAGGAACCAGATTCGCTTGGGGGTCACCCAGCGTAAGGGGGGTCACCCCTGTACCACAATGTCACTTTGGAGAGGTGTCTGCCACGCTTGGGGGTCACCCAGCGTAAGGGGGATCACCCCTGTTAATCACTCCGTTATGTGCCTCCACTACTGTGTCCTGGGTGGTGTATCCCTGTGGGGAAGGAGTGTATCCAATGGTTGTGAGGTCCAGTGGGAGTAGGGAGCGGAGTAAGATATCAGCTCTATTTAATTTCCCTGCCAGTAGATAGAGTAATGCATCCACTATATACCCACAGCAGGGGACAGTCCATTCATAATCCTCCAGATGTACAATAAAACTGTTATTCAACATGTCAATTGTATAGAACAGAATAGAGCAAACTGTCAGCAGATGCACACAGCAGGGATCAGTCCTACATATTCATGCAGAGTTACATATAAAAACTTTTATTTCACATGCCAATGAAATATGCCAGTATAGAGCTCAGCAGTGAACAGTCCATTCATAATCTTCCAGGAAAGGTACATATAAAACCTTTATTCCACATGCCCATGAACAGTATTGAGCTCAAAAGTACTTGTAAAACTTTTATTTCACAGGAAAAATATATGAAACAGTACAGAACTAGCCGCCAGTTCGTGGGAATCACGAACTGGCCAAACGACATGGCCGACGTGAATCTCGCGAGTGCCGCGAGATTCAAGATGGCCGCCGTTCGCGCGCAAAAGTGCCGTGCGGCCCACGATCGAGGATACGATCGCGGTCTGCCGGCATGGAAAAGAGTCCCCCCGACATCCCCAACCCCCAGAGACCTGCCCTGAAGTCCCAGCACCAATGAATAAAAAGCGTGCTCGCGGTAAAACGCCGCGATCCATGCGAGACCAGAGTAAAGCATAGGAAAGAAAAGGTGCCAGCAACAGAAAACAGGCTAATAAAGCAGAAAATACAGGGTTAATTCAGGGGAAGGGTAACAGGGGGAGAATATCACACTATACAAATCCAAATGGAAGGCAAGTGCAAAATAATGAAAAACGTTTAGGCCAAAATTGCAGGACAAGCTAATAAAGTTTAACAAAAGTGCCCATGCATATCCAGAAACAGTTTGGAGCAAAAACTGAATGTCTAGCATTAAAAATCTAACTAAAGTGACCATAGCAATATTAATAAAAACAGTTGGAGCAAACTGAAAGTCAATTAATAAAGTTTAATTAAAGTGGTATCCAGAAAAAACAGATAGGATTAAAACTGAATGTCTAGCATAAGGTGTCTAACTACAGTGACCATAGCAATATTAATAAAAACAGTTTGGAGCAAACTGAAAGTTAAGCAATAAATGATTAACTAATGACAATTGCAATATTCAGTAAAACAGTTTGGAGCAAAATACTCTGACCTGTGCCTTGGCTGGTAAGCAGCAAAGAAAGAGGAAGTCATGTGACTGTCAGGGCTTTATATATGAATGTGATGCCTGTTACTGATTGGTTTAAAGTTTATTGGTTGACTTGTGCTGCTGGAGGCATAAAGTAAAGAAAGTTATGCAAAATATGAAGCCTCCTGTCATGTGATAAAATTACGGTTGGACAGACATATAGCGCATTTGGCTCCGTCCTTAAGGGGTTAAGTGAAGTCCGTTTTTTTGTTGTTGTTTTGTTTTCATACTTAGCCAGTGCTAGCCAATCCACCTCAAATGTGTTTACTCAGATATAACAAGTAGAAAGAACTCAGAAACTGTATTATCTTACCAACTGTTATACTGACCAAATAAATATATGTAATATTGTTCAAAGGTTATTAGAAAATTGTACAAAAATAGTGAATGTTTGGGCTTTTTTTTTTTAAGTACTATTTATAGACATTTAGGCAAAATGATGTCATCGTACAAGCAGTACATGTTTCAAAGATTATTGAAAGCAGTACATTTAAACAGCAGATAACACATTCAGCATGTAAATGAACTGGGTGACTGACCCCTTTCAAGGAGCAGGAAGTAGACATCTGCAATTTTGAAAATAAATGTGATTATTAAGAATAGAAAAAAAATTTAAAAGCATCACTGTTATTAATTAAATGTGTGCCAGATTCAAAACATCAGCAGATGTGAAAAATTCAATATAGTAATTCTTGCATCAATTAACTAAATTGATTTAATGCTTCAATTGATTTAAAGCTGCATTGCAAAATCAGGTATGGGAGAGATTTGGGTTTAACTCTAATTTGTGTATAGTGGCATACAGTGACTTTTTAGCCCCAAGGCTTACTGGACTCCACGTTGTACTACTTTCAATTAATATAAATTTGAGTGTCTAAATGGATAAATGGCTGACTTCTGCAAAGGCCTCGATTTTAAGATAAACTTTAAAATTATATTTTCAAAATATTAAAAGGAAATCTTAAATAAAAAATACACCAACATATCATAAAATATGAAAATATTTAAATCGTTTTAAAAGTTTATCCAAACATTTTAAATAATTTGAAAAGAGTATCCACAAATATGAAATCTAAGCCAATGTTTCAATGTGTGTAAGGATTGTCAGCTGATATTATTATAGACTCAGACTGCATCTAATAAGGAAGGTGCTTTATGAAGAGTTGTGGCATGGCTAAGGGGGCAGAGCTTTAAGAATTGAAATTTTGTTTTCCTTTTGTTTAGCAAAATTAAATAGATATGAATGGAGTAAAATGTAGCATGAAAATGAAGCCCAAACATTAGGGTCCAGGATGTGTCTTGAGTGGTGCTTTAATAATATGTGCAAATAGCAGATGTTGGATATGCTGAATGCAAGGAAATTCATCAGCTTTAAAGAACCACTGATCTCAATTAAGTGGGTGCAGTGGTCCTGTGCTTTTAATGTAAATTATTGCTGTTTTTGCAAATGCCATAATATTATAGGGTTATGCAAGCCTCTAGAGCAGGGGTTCCCAACCCAGTCCTCAAGGACCCCCTACCAGTCCAGGATTTAGGGATTACCTGGGTGTGTCTAAGGTGTTTAGAAAAAGGGAAAAAAAGCACCTTAGACTCTAAGGTGTTTTTTCTTTTTCTAAACACCTTAGACACACCCAGGTAATTCTTCAACATGGATGCTGTCCAGGAGGTGGGAGGATCTCTACTAGTGGTGCTTTCTTCTTCATAACCAATTAAAACGTGGTCCTATCGAGTATGTTTCATGTGAGTAAAATAGTAGCTTCTGAACCAGAGAAGCCAAAATTTTGTCTAAAAAAAATGTCCACGCTTTGAGTTACATTGTCCTTGCCTGAAATTATAGGCCTACCTTTTAGATCGATGTATTTCTGGGAGACATTAAAATGTTGCAGTTGCAATACTCAAGGTACACTTCTTTTCAAGCCAGGGTAATGAATGGAGAGTCAATGATTGGCTGAAAGTGTCCTCTGACCACTCTCAGTAAATCAGCCACGCCGCAGCCTTATTCTGCAAGAGCCTTCCGGTTTCACGATTTTGAGAAAACGGAAGGACAGAAGGAACAGATATTTAACGCTGGTACAAAGACTATGGGGTTAAACTGCTTGAAAGTTGTTGAAACCTTTAAGGTGATCCAGCACCGGGCACCTCTTGGCACCATAGCGACTTCATGTTGATGAAGCTGTTATGATGCCCAAACTGGTCCTTTTAAGGATGCTTTTGGGGTTACAGTGTTTGCCATAGGTTGCATTGTTTGAGGAGGCTCTACATCAGATACATTTTTACAAGGAAAATGTTGGTGGAGAGTGTGCACATTGCAAAAGGGAGTCCGAATAACAATTGCAATTTACACGACTATAGGTTCCCTATTTAATGCATCCAATTAAGGTTTGGTCATTCTAGCTTATTCTTAGCTGCTACAAATAATGCCTCGACAGTTTGTAAATGTTTAGACATAGAAAACTAAAGCTGAGGAATAGCAATGCATTTGAGTTCCCTTGTATATCCAACAATGTAATTGACTCTATATATTACTGTACAGTCATTGTTGTATTGATATAACAG